AGGTGAGCCGAGCTTCTCTGCAGGTTTTTCCGGACGGAGCCTGCGCTCCGGTGTTGCTGGTCTGGTGCTTGGCATCCCTGGCTCAGCGCCCACCTTGCCTGGGCCCCACCTCTGGGGCCGTGTCTCCACGTGGCTGTGTTTTCTCGGGTCCAGTGGCCAGGACGCGTCTCGGCCAGTCTGTCTGTAGCGCAGGTGCGCACGGTGTTTCCGTGCACGTGTAGGGCCCAGGCACATGCCTGGTACGTGTGTGCGTATATGTTTGCTTAATTTCTCCCTGTTCTTCTCTGACTCGCGGAGTAGAACTGGACCTGGCCCTCTGCCTGCTGTTCTGGGAGGAAGAACAGGCCGAAGGGTCCGGGCACCAGGGGAGAGGCCTAGGTCTCACACCGTCTAAGCTTCCTGTGAAAGCCAGCGTTCCGACCACCATGCTGGCCGAGTCTCTGTGTCCCTGGAAACTGCCGCAGGTGGGGACTCGAGGAAGTGCCACCCGTGGGCAGCTTTCTCCCCCAGGTGAACCGGCTGGCCAGCAGGAGGTCCCGGCGCCCGTACACATCCTGTGAGTTCAGAGGTCAGCAGGCCAGAGAGAAGGACGGAAAGTTGGTCCTCATATTTCTCATTTTTTACATTTCTGTCCAGGCGTTTGAAATCCAGTGCCTGGCACTTAGCAAGTGATGGGTTGAACTTTCGTTGCCCAGATGCGAGGTGGCTGTGGGCAGCCCGGGGGGGGGGGGGGGGCACGTGTCCCTGTGCACAGGCTCTGCCAGGGCCGTGGTTGCTAGTCGAGGGGAGGACACGACTGTTAATTTACTGATTTGGGGTCAGTGGAGCGTTTCTCCTGGCTCCTCCCGCGGACACGGGGAGGGCGGGAAGGGGCGTGTGGCTGCCAGCAGGGCCTCCGCTGACTTCCATCCTGGCCCCTCCTGCGTGCGGTCGTCTGTGGGAAACGGCAGAGGACACGCTGACTTCCCGTGGTGCCCTCCCCTGGAGTCAGGAGGCTCGTGGGCCGGCGCTGACCTGGTCAGATCCGAGACGCCAGGGCTGTTTCACTTGGGACGTGGCCGGTGCCTGCCTGCCTGTGGCCCTGGGCGGAGGCGTTTCGGTCCCAGGCCGGCCTGACTCTGCCCTGCTTCCTCCCTTAGGCGCCTCAGCCTCCCGGCACCGCGTCCTCCGAGCCCGGCGACCAGGACAGCAGGAGCTCGTCTCTGCAGGCTCCCTTCTCAGTGGGATGGAGCTGCATTCCCCTGCACGGTGCGTGTCTCATGCTTGTTGGAGGCTGGGGCGCAGCAGGTGATGTCGCAGTGGCTGGTGCTGTGGGCGATCACGTGGGAGAGGGGACCGGGCGTTTGCAGTAGGAGGAGCCAGTGTGAATGTTTCCAACCAGGAGGCAGGAGGTCCCGGAGCCATCCCTTCAGGGGGGAGGGGGGAGCCCTCCCAGGGAGAATCAAGGCAGCAGTTTCCTCAGAGGCGGAGCCTTGGGCTCTGGGCTCCTCCTTCCTTAGGAGACTGGGGATCGGGAGACGAGCCACTGGGAGCTGCCGCCTCCTCTCCTCTCTCTGCCTGTAGCGGCCGCCCGTGAGCCTGCGGAAGCTGTGCCTGGGTCGGTGCCCGCGCCCGGGGGTTGTGTGCCGTCCGTCAGGGCTGCGTTAGAGTAACGGAGTGAGCAGGGTCGCTGTAGGGTCAGCACGTCCCTGGTCATCAGGAGACTCAGGAGATCGAGTTTGGGCTCAGTTGTGCTCACTGCTTCAGGCACATTAGGTGAAGCTGGGCTTAGGTGAAGGTCACTCCCTCTGCCGTGCCACAGGTCTGGCTGTGGGCAACCCCGTGGCCTTCCGCGTGGTGACCTGTCTGCTCTGTGACAGGTGTGAGCCCAGAAGTGAGCGAGCTGCTGATGGAGGCGCAGCTGCTCCAGGTAACCCTTCCTGAGATCCAGGAGCTTTACCAGACGTTGCTCGCGAAGCCCAGCCCTGCCCAGCAGACGGGCCGCAGCTCCCCAGGCAGACCCGGCGGCGAGAAGGTGAGTGTGGCTGGGAGGCTGGGGAGGGAGGGGGTGCGGCCAGTGGACGGAGGTGGAAGGGCAGGTGTCTGCAGGGAGCAGGGCTGCCGTGCACCCCCTGGGCTCCCCGCCCGGGGTCTGGTCCTGCTCAAGTCTCTGGATTTTTTTCTTTTCACAAAAGGTGCTTCTACCATTTCCGTGTGAAGGAGCTGGAAGCAGGTTATTTTTCTCCTGTAAGAGACACACACAGTAGAGACGAGTGCAGTCCTAGTGGGAAGGCCTTTTGAGAGAACCTTCAAAACTCAGATATTCTCCGAGTCACTATTAACACCTGCTTCGCTCCTCTAACCTTGCGAGACAGCTGGTGGGGGACGGGTGAGATGAGGGGTCCGTGCTGAGTGCTGACCAAACGAGGGGGACACTGGCCTGGCCCGGTTCAGGGGCTGCGTCCCCCTGTCCTGCGCTCACTGACCCGTAACCCTCAGGGCCTGGAATGCGGTGGGATCAGGGAGTCTCCTGAGCAGAGGCTGCTGCTGCGGTACCTGTGGCGCCATTGATTGCGGCCGTGTGCTCCTGCGCGTCTGCGGGTGGAGGCCCCACCCGTCCTTAGAGGAGGGGGTGCTGGCTGGTTCCCTAGGAGCCGGGGCCGGGGCCGGGGCCAGGGCCAGGCTCTGCTGTCAGTCCCGCCTCCGGCTGCCACTGAAGGAAGGAGGGAGGCAGCGCCCACCGCCCGTGCGGGTGGGTCACCTGGGGGACAGGCGTGTCTGACCTGTGAGGCACTAGCAGGAGGCTGCCGTCCTGCGGGGCCCGGGAAGGGGTGATGTGGGGGTCCAGGCCCAGTGTTCCTCAGGTTGATGGGGCTCCTGGGGTTCTCACGGCGAACCCTCGGCCTCGCTGGCTTCCGTTGTGGGCAGACTGGAGGCTGAACTGAGTTTGCTTGTCTCCCCCCAGAGCGACTGCTGCCGGGCGAAGCGAGAGGGAAGCAGCAGCCTGGAGAGGAAGCTGAAGCGCCGCCCCGAGAGAGATGGCCTCGCCGGCGAGTGCTGGGGCCGGGTGCGGAAAGTGTGGGCCCCCGGGAGGAAGAGGATCAGACTGGGGCCCCCCCAGGACACGGACGCTTTCCAGTTAGAGAGCGAGCGTGGCTACACGCCCGTCCGCTCCGCCGACACCCACTCCCTGCCCTCGGACACCTCCTCCTCGGAGCAGGAGGACTCCGAGGACGAAGACGCCATCTGCCCGGCTGGGAGCTGCCTGCAGCCGGAGGGAGACGAGGTGGACTGGGTCCAGTGTGATGGCAGCTGCAACCAGTGGTTCCATCAGGTCTGTGTTGGTGTCTCCCCAGAGACGGCGGCGAAGGAGGACTACGTCTGTGCGCGCTGCGCAGGGACAGCCGCGCCGAGCCGGAAATAAGCCCGCCCCTTGTGTCGTTCAGGACTCACCGGGAGGGACCGCAAAGCCACAGGACTGGGTCAGACCAGCCTGTACTCGGTGCTATTTCTATTCCGAATGGATCGTTTTCCAGAACTCTTTGGAAAAAAGAAAAAAAAAAAACTAAAAAATTTTTTGACACCTTTTGTATTTTTTCCTTAAGAGCTGTTTGTGGTTGTGGGGTGACATGCTGGTGTGTGGCGGGTTCCCACCCACCGAAGGCTCTGGCGCTCGCCCCTTCGCACGCACAGCTCCCCACGCGCCGCCGGATCCCCGCCGCGAGCCCAGCTCCGTCTCGTGCCCAGAGGCACAGAAATTCCAGTAAATCCTCGTGGGAGGAGTTCTCCGTTTACTGTTACCATATTGGGAACTTGAGTTTCACTTTGGGGTTTTGTTTGTTTCTTTATCCGCTTTTCTTTTCCTCGTAGACTAGGTTTATTTATCTGAGCAATAACTTCCATGTTGTTTCAGTGGCTGGAATTAAAACAAAACTTCCGAACAGCGTGTTGGTGTTGAGCATGTGGTTGGTTGGCGTGCGGAGCGCCCGTGTCGGTCCCGGTGTCGGACCGGTGTCCCCGATGAGCTCGTGACCTAGAAAGTGCTGAGGGCTGCCCAGCATGGCTGTCTCCGGCCGCCTCCTCCCCTGCTCTTTTGGTAGCTGGTATCACATGAGGCGATGGCTTTGTGGGTGAGTGCTTGGTTCTGCGAGAGCCACCAGGCCGCCGCCCTTCTCGCTCCGCCAGGGGCGCGTG